TATCGATGATCGTTTTAGATCGAATCAATGAATTGTTAAACGAATTCAATCAATGGCACCAGCGTGACCAAGAAGAACAATAACGTCGTCTATCATTTTATTTTTAGATCATATGATACTAATTTTATGCTTTATTGTAGTTCATGTATGTCGATATAGTTATTCCATGATAATTCTATGTTTATCTTTTTGTGTGATGTAAATTAAATGCTGAATGACGGTTCATGCAAGGAAATAACATATCAATATTCGCATATTCATTCAAAAACATGAAAATTCTTAATGGAGTACCCTCATTTCTTATTGAATTCCTAAAAAACAATATTTATAATGAATTTTAATAATTTTTTTGGATTTTTTTAAACTTTATTATGACCGATTCACCCGATTTCCGATCCGGATCGCCGATTCTCCGATCCGGATCTGTTTTTTGGGTGGATCAGGGTCACCGATCCGTTTTTAAAACCATTGCATCACAGCATTGTAGTGTGAGGTTGTGCGGCCCTACTTTTTTCATCAGGCTGCAGCCAAAATATTTGTAGGGGTCAAATTGTAGGACTAAACTGCTCATTTGGTCCCACCGCCAGAGCACTTGGTTTTCGGCCTTTAGGGTTATTGTGTGAGCCTAAACTTTCTCCAAACATCTCTTGTTGCATCCCAATATTAGCCAAATAATATAAATTAATGGACAAAACAGACATAGCTTTGAGCAAAGGACTTATATTTGATGTCTATGAAATAGATGGCGCAAATACGTGCCCAAGTTTTGAAGTTGAAATTGAATTTTGAGGCACATGTTAAACTTTATATAACAAGCCAGTTAAATGTTTTGGGTTTCATTGTTTCCCAGGACATGTCTTTTCACTTATGAGAGCAACAAAATAATGGGTTTGGTCATCTAGGACCATATAATCATTTTTTTTAGAAAAAATTATAGATATCCCTTTAAAATAAATTTTGTATACATTCCACCCCCAATGCTTTTAATATCACTTCCATAACCAAGTTATTGATTTTTCTTGCTTTTATTTTTACCTGTCTTTTCTCTTTTTTTTTCTATCCACCCTCTCTCTTTACCCGCCATTTCTTTCTTTTTTTTCTCTACCCTCCCTCCCTACCTCCTCTCTCTCATTGAAAATATGCGGTTCGGTATAAAAGTGTGCTAGACAAGCCTCTGGCTTCTGAAAATCTAGAAGCCTCGTAACCACTCCGGCACACTTTTGTGTCGGACCGAAATTTTTTGCTTTTCAATGAACATCATCCTCACTAGGCTTGACAAAATTAAAGGTTTAGATATCTCTAAAAATAAAAAAGGACTATTTGCACATTTTTTTTTGCATGATATGCAATAAAAAAAAATATATTTATTTATTATTATCATAAAAACCAATTTAAACAATATTCTCATGCGTAGATCAATATTTGGTAACAAAAAAAAAAAAAAAAAAAAAGAACCCTCTCTCTCTCTTTTGTGAATCAATATATGAATTCAAACTTGCGATAAACATTTATATATGGCTAATCATCATCTATATAGGTATCATGCTCATTCTTTCACATACCATTTATTCCTAATAAGTCATAAGAATACCTACAATAAAGAATCATCTCATGGAAACTACTATCATAACTACATTCAATTCCTCATCACATGTACAACACTACAAGCTAGGTAAAAGGAGTCAAGATCAATCAACCATAATTTTCACATCTCAATAAATATTTCAGGTATACAACGAGAGCATGCAGTCACTAGGCCATCACAAGTTTACTATATTAGAGCAAGTTCATGGTTTACCCTCTCCAATTGCATTACCAAACTTCCATTAATCCAAAGCGTTTTCTTTTTACTAACAGGTAAAGGAATTTTTTGGTCAATGGGTCAGCTAAATCTACTACCTTCTCATAACCATTTAGTTTTTTTCTTTAGTTTATTGTTTCGAGCCTAGTTGTACTTTCTTTTTATTTCCTGGTTTATATAAGGGTCAGGCCCTAAACAATGAAATTAATGCACTCCTCAAACATTCGTTAGAAGAGGTTATTTCGATCTTCAAAAACCCTCAAATCGATCAACTCGGCCTTAAGATATATGGACATTAAAAAAATAAATTTGAAGTCTTGAAAATAATACATCTTGTAAAGTATTTTTTTGGCTGTTAATATTTCAAGATTTTAAAGTTTATTTTGGAACTTTAAATTTTACAATGGAATATGAAAATAAATTTGTAAGCTATGACAAGAATTTCCAATACTTATGTAACATTTTTTAACATAGTTTGGAGGTACACTTCACTTTGATTGTTAAGAGCCTCAACCTTGTATAAATCGAATCGAATCAATAAAAGAAGATCCACATACCCCTAATTTATCCATCGTTTACGCTAGACTCCTTGAGGTCAGAGGCCGCTTGCCGAGGCTGTTTTGGTCATTTCACCTGATTATGCTATTGTTCAGTAGTAGCTTATATTTATCGGAATTAACCGATCTCAATTAATTGAAAAAATGTTATAGCTGAAAATATTACAGTGATTATGATATGTTTATCCTTATTGATTTTCTTATTAGAAAAAAAAAAGAAAAAGAAAAAAAAAAAAAAGCATCTGTTTATGTTTTCCTAGACAGACCTCAGATCGTTCTAGTATCCCTTTTATCACCGTCCTTTTTGAAATCACACGGTCAATAACCTCTTTATATGTATGCAAATATTTACAGGTAGCATATTTCTGTGTATTATCATTTTTATAGATCACGAAAGGGCTACTTCTTGGAGCCAATGCTGCGCTCTCTCTCTCTCTCTCTCTCTCTCTGTCCTATTTTGGGTTTCAAAAGTTGCAGCCCTCTCTCTCTGTCCTATTTTGGGTTTCAAAAGTTGCAGTCCTCTCTCTCTCTCTCTTGCCTGTGACTTGCCCCTTCCTCCACCACCCTTCCCTCTCTCTCTTTATCTTTCTATATATGTTTGGTATTTGAAGCTTGCAAGTTTGTGGTGAAGCCTTGTGAAATTGGTGGAGGTGAGTTTGTGTTTGTTCGTTAATGTAAAATTCACCGACACTGTTCCATGGCGGTGTAGTGATGTTATGTTCTTGTTTCATTTCCTTTGTTTGGAAATTCTGCCAAATGCCATCTGTTTTCATGGTTTGTGTTAATATTTTTGTTTCTTAGGGTTCTGTTTTTTTCCCCAATAATGGAGAATGATTTTCGTTTTTGAGGTTTTTCTTTGTTTTCTTCTCCGGTTGTTGGTTCGTCCTTCTTGTAATAGTTTGTGACTGTTATGGACTTTTAGCCATCGTTTTTGAAGATTTTATACTTTCAGGAAACTTGTGGAAATTGGGTTTTTATATTTCCTCCATTTGGCAAGACATTAGGCACCCTCAAATATCATAAATTAAAGAATTCTAGGTTTTCTAATGTGTGTGTTTCAATAATATTTGGGCTAAGTTTATACCTCATGATTTCAATAAGCCTGATATCTATCTTCTCCTGAATTAAGCTTTTGTGTTGATACTGATTGGGGACACATTTTATTTTCATATCTGAAAGGCAGGATAGTCATCTTTTATTGAACCAATTTTGGATTCACTAATAAAAAAATTCAATGTTTGGTTAAGAGGCTTATTGGGTTAAGATCAATTTGTCACAAATGCAACAAGCAGGATAGGCATCTCTACGGGATCGAGCTTTCCCGGTATCGGGGGTTGAGACAAGCAAATGGCATCCTCGGATGATGAAGAGGAGGTAGTGCTGAATTGTGTTGAAAATTACCACTTTGAGGATGAAAAACAAGAACCCATCTCTTTTACTGTTTTACCTATCCAATGGACTGAGACTGATAGTCCAGGCACCACAAAGAATCAAATTTTCTTGCATGGGACTGCTGATAGTGGGCTTCAGAAAGTGTATAAGCAAGTCATGGCGTGGAAGTTGGATCTCTCGGGAGAAAAGCCCACCATTTATGTGCTCACCAAAGATAACATTTGGTAATATCTGCTTGCTGAGATTTATTGGCTACATAGCATCCTATTTTGAGTTATTTAGTTTCTGGTTTTAGAACTTGAACTTTTAATTTAGCAATAATAAGCCTTAACTGTACACTTTTAGGCTCAGCTGTTTGTTTTGTGCATGATTTTGTGATGTAGGATGCAGCTTCAGAAGCCAAGGAAAAGTTTTGAGGAGACAATCAGGACAATTTTGGTAACTGTGTATTTCCTTCACTTTGCATCTAAGAACAAAGACACCTCAGAGAAGGCTATCTGGGATCATCTGAGAAAAGTTTTCAGGTTTGGCATGGCTTTCTGTAAACTTGCATTATAGGATTAAGGAATTTGAAGTAATCCAGTGTATTTGCAATGCCCTGAAATAGTTGCTGTGTAATTAGTTCACAAATTTAAACATTTTCTATCATTTGGCAGCACCCATGAAGTCAGTCCATCAGAACATGATTTGTCCTACCATCTCTCTTTGATTAGAGGAATGGCTCAAAGAGATGAAATGTTAGCAAATTCCAAGGTATATAGTGCTTCCATCTGCTTTCCTAGATGAATGGCTTTTTTTGCTTTGTTCTGATAAAAGGATGGTTGACTTTCCAGGTTTTGACAGTATATCTAGTTATGAATTCTTTTCGAACTCACAATTTTTTTTAGTTGTTCAATGGTTTCCTTATTGGACCTGTCATAGGATTTAAGTTCTCTGGAGGTCCAAGATGAATTATTGGACTTGTACATCTTGGAAATGCTTTATGTGTTGATATGATGCTTTATGCATTAATATGATACATCTATTGATGCATGTTCGGCGCTTCCTATTAGTCCTGAGAATATTCTTTTATCCCTGGTTGGTAGTTTGCTTCTATCTTGTACTTGACGATGTTTTGTGGACGACATTGTCGATATTCAGTAGGCATTCATGTTACTCTCTTCCTTCCCCACACCCACAACCCACAACCCCTGCCACCACCACCCCTCTCCCCAAAGAACCCCCCCTCACCAGTCTTTCTCTCTCTTCTATTTTTACTTGATTAAAAAAGTAATGGCCTCATCAGAAATAGGAGCATTTGAAAGGGTTGATCTATCTCATGTAACATTCGATAGGTAATAATTGAGGATCAAAACCTACCCACATTCTAAGTCATAGTTTTTGGGAAGTTATTCTAAGTTGCTGCATCATTTTCGTATTTTTATTGGTAAGGGTATTTCATTTGATGACTGTAAACTTTTACATTTAATAGCTATTTGAGACAAAGATAAGAAATGAAAATGAGAAAAAATAAAGATGAGATTGGCTAGACTCAACAACAGATGCAAGTGATTGCCAAGTGGGTCTGGGCACGCCATAATTGATCAAAGAATCAGCTAGCTTGGTTTTGCGCCACATATTTCTAAAGGACACCTTGGGAGCTGTGAATAGATTTCTTCAAAAATTTGGGTCATTGTAAGGGATTTTGAAGTGGCGCAGGAAATGACATAAGCTGGTTTCCTTTGACCATTTCAACAGGCAAGGGTCCCAAACTAGGTGCATTATTATGTGTCCTTATGAGAATAGCTAGTTCCTTTGCCTCACTTACACCACAACGACCTGCAGGTCTTGATAATTTAAATCAAAATGGACGCACTGATGGTCTTGAAAAAATCTCCAAAACCAACTGTCTGGGATTTCCTTGGAACTTGGGTTTCCTTGGAACTTTTGCCAAAGTTTTATTTGATCAAGCGTTCCAAATGAGGCCAAACCTGAAGCGATTAGTGTGGGGTGAAGTGATAGCTTATGACGGTGCTCTGGATCACCGGTAGAGAAGCCCCAAAAATTCTTCTTGGTTGAGGCTAAATGGATGACTGAGGACTTGGTTTGAGAGTGTTTGTGGAAGGACGTTGGTTCTCAGCTCGAATATTTTGCAATTTTGTTCCAGGCAAGTCATCTAGAAGAGTGCTGACATACTTAGCCACCATGGCAAGAAGGCAAAGGAGTGGAAGGGCAATGAAAACCAAAGAAATGAAACAAGGCATCAATCAATGCCAGAGAGACCCAACTGATACTAAGGAGTTGAAGGGAGGAAAGTCCTAGGTTGAAAGACATTCTACAATGGAGAAATGGTGATTGACTGATTCCTCTACTTGTAGCATATAATGCGCAGGTCTGCCATTGGGCATATAAATAAAAAAAGTTGCCCATCTAGATATCTGTCTAGAATCTGACCTAGTCACTCTCACCAATAAAGAATATTCGCTTATGCCTAAAATCTTCTGTGACTGTTATGTCCTTCCAGCCCCAAAGGCTTGGTAAGAAAGAAGTAATAGGATAAACTGCCAACTAAATTGGATTATTGTCAATAACAAATTGGCTATTTGGGCATTGTTTTATGAGATTTTGGCAAATGAGACATTATCTAGCTGTGGTCTGTGGATTCTGGTCCTTTGAAAATAAGTTATTGAAAGAATCTGAGGATGGCTTTTCCAATGCCCACCCAACCTTCAAAAGTTCCCAATTCATTGCTATTAATTATTGAGTTGCTTAACCTTTTTGCCAACAACTGGAAGAAATTTGTGTTGATTCTCCTTCTTTTAGCCACTATATTCTCAACCTTTGAGGCCATAATTGTTCTTCTTGCCTTAAAAATTGAAAGTAGCATGAAGGACCACCCTTTCTTCTCTGATTTTATGTGTGTTTCCTCTTGAGTGTGGTCCTTGACGTCATCTACCTGATCCAGCATTGATATATTCTATGTTTTATGTCAAAACAGCTGAGAAAATCCCTGTCCAGGTCTTCACTTTAAGCTAATTGGCAATGTTTTTAAAGATGTGAGGCAGCATCTTGGTGTCCAATATTGGCATGGATTGGCTCCTAGGCCCTAGGATCAGCATGAGTTGGCACCTAGCCAACTGACTTGCTTTCAAGGTGGCCTTGGATAATGTACATGAAAAGATAGAGGTGTCAACTGTCTTGTGTTCAAGGTGGCCTAGGATAATGCACCTGAGAAGATGAGTTTTGAAAAAATATTATTTTTTATTTCGTAAAAATTAATTAGTATGTATATACTGTTAATTGTGCGTGAATGTACAAGTCTACCATATCTAATGAGAAAGAATATCATCCATGTGGTTATGCCTTAAAAAAGGGGCGCACAGAGCTTGGGCTGGACACTGCAAATTGGTCCAGCTTAGCTAAAAAGGAACTGTTGCTCTGATTGGATCTCAGAACCCTGCCATTTAGGGAGATATCTGGCAGGTGGTAATGGCTCATAAAATCTGAGAACCTTTTTACACTCATCATGATGCAAAGACACGAGACATTATTTCTCGCAGAGACGATGTTGTGACTTTAAAGTTGCCTCTTATACAGAGGGGAGAATGAGAGATTCCTGGAGCTATTTAAGGTTAAAACATATCAAGGCAGGCAGCTTCTTGGGCTAGGATTTGGGGTTCTAGATAACTCAAAGGTCAGGGGAAGTTCCCTCAATCTGTATACCATCCATCTGGTAGGGTCATGACCCTAAACAAACTTGATGAGTGAAGGACCCTGGACCTTCAACTGGGTCTCAATGATGACCAAGGTTTCTACTTTATGCGCACCTGCAAAATCGAGGGTATATCTCTTTCTATCAGTGATTCCTAGTCCTTAACATTCTGGGAGGGTATTGTCATGTGTGGTGGGGTAGAAGATTGGGCCTGCGCTAGGACGTAACAACCCTTCTAAGTCTTGGCAAAGGGTTTGGATGTCTCATAGTTGATAGCTGCAGCTGAGTTTTTTAGTTGTCACAAATTGTCACCCACCTTTGCCCTTTCTACATTTGTGATGGAAAATCAAAATCTTCTAGCTACCAATTGCTCAAACTTGCAATCGTAAGGTGCTTTGGGAGATGACATGTGCTGCTACCAGATGATACAAAATGTATAAACAAAAATAAAGACTCAAAACGAACTCTGACAATTTGATTGAAAAATGAAAAGGGGATGTTTACATGCCACTCTCTGTCCATGTCCAAGGTTTATTCAATGTTCCTGGTAAACAGGAAAGAGACACTTTTACCACCCTACCCCTTAACAATTAATGAAAACCCATTTTAATCCCCCAATGATTTAAATCAACTAATATCAATAAATAACATTATATCCATGTCCTTGAAATTAAATAAATAAAAAGTATCAAAAATACAAATCAGCTGCTTTTGCCTTAGATTCCCCTAGTTGGGGAAAACTCGTCATCGAGTTTTATAGTGGGATAAGATGACTCCTGCGCTAGGCCTAGGTCTTCTTCAACCCAAATGTTATATGTTGAAATTGAGGATTTATGCAAGGACTTGTGGGTTCGCTGGTCTTTTGGTGAAAGACGGAGCTAGGGCTCTAGCAAAAGACCTCGTCTATACGAGTTTTTTTTTAGGTTGCAGTTGTTCAACAGAAGCCGCCGTTCCATAGTGGGCGTACCTTTGCTTATTCACACTTGCTGTAGTTCTAAAGTTGCTGCTGGTCCATCTCCTTTTTTGCTCTGGACCACAGTGGGCGCAACCTTGTTTACTCACGATACAGTACACTCCTTGTAATCGGGCAATTCTATAAGCCCCAATATTTTGTATAGGGTCTTTTGACCTATTTTTTGACCGAGAGACCAGACTTCTGGGTACTCTCGAATCCCCATTCTGTATCATGTTACTCTCACAGCAATACAAAAGTTAACTCTCCCAAAAAAAAAACAATACAAGGACTTGTGGATTATTGTCCGAATCAAAATAGAGTGATTCTGCATCAATATTGGGGCTTTACAATTGGCTTCTAAGCACATAAACTCTTTTGAGAACAACCTAGACGAAAGGGTCAATATATGTCGATGGAGTAATTGTGATATATATGCGTGGTTCTACTACATAAACCTTTTGAAATTGCTCAGTTTAGCTGCATAACCCGCTGAATTATGTTGGTTCAGCCCTAGAACAAACCAAAGGAGCACCTATGAGAAAAGCACTGAATGCGATGGCTGACCCAACAACTTCACCTGTTGACGCTCCTTGAAGTCCTTCGTCTTTTTGTTCATCGAAGATTGGTTCATCCATGAAAGCTTATTCCTCATCATAGATCGGATCTCTCATGAGATCTTGTTCGTCATCTCAAATCAGATCTCCCATGAGATCCAGGGTGAATTAATCTGAAAGTTTAACCACATACTGGTTATGTAGTTGATTGAAATCTGCTGAATTTGACCCATCAGTATGATGAATTCAGATCTAGCATTGTCTTGAATGACAAAATGTCTATCAGGGCGGTCTGTGTGCACAATCCTTGAGTATCCTTCAACTCGACCGTTTTTATGTACTGCATACGTTAGCTTCTCAAATCTTTCTACTCAAATCATTGAATTCGCCCATGTGACTTTGGCACCAGCACGAAACCATATGAATCACAAGGGTTGATAACATGGTAGTAGAGCACATGGGTCACCCAGGATATTATGATTATTCTGCTATACATCACGAGAAACACAACACGTACTTCTAGGAAGAATGTGTTAAAGGGAGATAATTGGCT